AAAGACCAAAGCTTTCTGTTAAGAAAAAAGTCTTTCCTAAGTAACCAATTGCTTTACTTCGGCCAACTGAGAAAATACATATATTTTATAATCAGCACAAGTTTACCTTTCCTACAGCGTGGGTCGAGTAACCTAACTGCCTCAAATATTCCGGCAGAAGCTTTTCCTTTAGTGGCACTCCATATGGTTGCCTGTTATGTATCGTGTCATGTTGAAGGCCTGAAAATTTTTAGGAAAAAGCACAAGATTGTTCAAAGTTGCTGGTTCCTTTTTAGACGCCCCCATGTATACCCTCTATCATTTGCGCACTACGTATCTGTTACGCGCTTTTATGGCGCATTTCAAGCGAGCAACAAATGAATGAAAACATCGATAATCGCCCGGCCTTACTGACTTTTCTTCGCTTGGTGCATCGCGTGAGTTTCCTCTATATGGCCTTTACTAAGTGCCAAGATCTCACGCGGAGCCAACTAAGCTTGAGAATCCGGGTACGAGATCAGACTTACTCTCAATTGAAATAGTCTAATCCAAAAATACTTATTTCTTACCTAAATTCAAGGCATATTTTCCAGTCAGGAACGCAGCCCTGGGCGGTGGTCAATCGGGGATACGTAATAATTATTTAAGGATTACCCCGGAATTTGCCAAGCCATCAAGTGTGGGCGTGGGGATCTGTGGCGAGCCGTGAAAACTGACGTCATCCCAGCCCTGAAAAAGACACAGCTTTGTTAGAAATGTACCCCGAAGTAGAATTGAGTGATGATAAAATGAGATGAGTGGTTAAAAATTGATTCATAGCTGTGGTGGATATCTATTCCCTATCCAACTGATTAAATTTTGAACTCTGAATATTGCATTTCTAGTGTTCTGATGGGTTCACCCAGCTCCGGTTATCAGCTCATAATCCGCGTCACCTCATATGAAAATGTGCTGCGCCACCTATTTCAGAGCTAAAAAACAGGCTCCAAATATTAAAACGTTCGGGATTTAACAAAATTTAATCAAACAATTATTTTTCTTGTTGGTTAAAGCCAACTCGACGCTACGCGCCTCGTTGGCTATTTACCATCTCAAGTCCAACTTGCGCTCATGAAATAATTGTTGATTATCCAGAGACTGCATCGTAAGCACACTCTTAATTTGCACCCAGATCCTATCAGTTTAAATTTGAGTTCATTATGAATTCGATTTTTGTGACATTGACCGCTTGCTTCTTAATAAAATTTGACGCTGATTGCTTTTAGTTCGTATCTCAACGCTGTGGTGTGACAGTCATCCACTCCCCCTCTCCCCCCCCTCCCCAAAAAAAAAAATCGTTTTTCCTTTATCTTATAAAAAGAAATAGGTTTTAAGAAAATAATTTAAAAATAACCTGAGATATTGAAGATAAATTAAACAGCTCTTCGAACGCGTTAGAGATAAAAAAGAATCAATCAAACGTTTTTCCTTTTACATAATGCATACGTGGAAGGTTCAATCTCTAGGGTAACTTTATTGAGGAAAAAAATAAAATATATCACTTACTAAATCATCGGCTACAATCATAATGATGTGAGGCTTCTGTGCCTGTTGGGGTTGCTGGGCATGGAGACAGTGGATTAAGTAAAATATAACTAATATTCCAAGGGTCAGTGACCGGGAAGTGCGACTGAATGAAGCCATAAAATCTACGAGAAGAAAAGGAATGTTAGCTCGGTCAGGATCGTGCACACACTTGGTGATTTGAGTCATTTGGTTCATAAACAACTTTCACTTAACATTTTAAAAAGACTCCGGTTGATCAGCCATCCTCGACGTGTTCGGATTTCAAAAGAATCCAAGTGATCCTTGGATAAAAGTGTTCAATAAGTCTTCATTAAAATTTGAAATTTATAGATTTTTTGGCTATAAGTGTGATTTCTGATTTGTGTGATAATTATGGAATGATTTTCGTTCGGAAAAACTCGGTTTATAAAAGTGAAATGAAAACAAATTCAATAAGAAATTAAACATAAAAAGTCATCCTTTGTCGTCTCTTAATGACGTGAGGCGATGTAACCAAGCGAACGAAAAAAACTCTGACATTCACTGAACTCACTACGGTTCGAATCCTCACGATTTCACCAATGTATCTTGCATTTTACGTATAATTTAAACGATCCCTTTTCTGTTCTGTTGTAACTTTTCAGCTCTCAGCAGAAGTTTGTTCGTAAAAGCTGTGTTCAAGAACAAGGTCTTCAAATAACTACCAGCTCATTATGAAAACAGGACCAGCCGCGTAGTGTTTGGAGAAAATTAGTTACCTCGACAGCTAAAGGTCATTTGTGACTGGTACCATGACAAAAATATGCGTGGAGCGATCAACAGCCTTTTAATCGCGGAAGCAGTGTTCGAAAGTTTGCGAGATATACATGTACGAGTTAAAAATTCAAATTTAATATTTTTCATCATAAATGTCTTTCAAAGAGACGAATAAAAGAAAAATGGAAACTCATTAAAAAATACTGGAGCTCTTAGTTATAAAAGCTACCTCTCTCAGGTTATATAAATCACCATTATATGTTATATTTACGGTAGTTTGATTTTTTTATAGGTTGAAGAAAAATGAATAAAACAGCGTCGCACATGTTCTCTCGCACAAATAGTAACGGCCTTTTAGTTTTCTTTAAATTCATCTTCAATTTTGACTGGACCAAAAAAAAGAAAATTTAGTTATATCATGTTACTGAGGATCATTATTTCAAGGCTTTTCTCGCCCAAGGAGTGTAAATCTTGCAAGTCGCAGCATTTTCAAAAGAAGCAAAAGGCAGCAATGATATAGTCGATATTATATATCGTCTGGTGTTGAAAGTAGGCTTTTGTTAATCTTAAAAATTTGAAAATTACAATTATTTGTGATTCGTCAAGTTTATCAATCTATGACCAGTTTGTTGGCACTCTTGTTTCTGATACCTCTTTACTTAGAATGAGTTATTTAGCTAAAAAGAACGAATAAAATATTTTAACCAAAACATGGTGATAATCTATAAACGTTCGTGAATCAAATCTTCAAAAAAACAGCCTTGATCAATTTCACAACTTTAACAAGCTAAGTCTTGTGCTCTGCGGCCAGTTACTGAAAGTTTTATGAAAGTTCATTTTGCTTGTGATTTTTCGGTTTTTTTCAATCCTTTTTAAATTTTAACTTTTATTAAGAGCATAGATTTATCATTTTTTTGTTGGTGAAATTGACATGAGCCTTCATATTTTGCCGAATTTTTCGAAGCTTTGGGTAGTTTTCAACTTTATGTACACCCTGTCCCTATTGGTATTTTTTGAGATAGGGTGAGTTTTATTCTTTAAAGATGAGCGGTAATTAGAATGAGTGACTCGACCGAAATTGTAGAAATCACGCATTCAATTCAGTTGAATTTTTACCATTTATCAAATATTTTACCTAACATAAAATTAACCAGTTCGTAGTTGTTCACTTCTTTTGTGATTTTCGATGGATGCTGATTATTACGTATTTATGAGATGCCTTTGTTTCAAGTTTAGAAAGTACTCTCCAGCGATTACGGGGATGAAATCTCGGTATTTCATGAGATACCTGGTTAAATTCGTAATGTTTAAGCAGAAATAATTAAAAACTTGATTTCGTTGAAAATTAACGAAAGTAAAATTGAAGTGCTAAAGAAAAAATTATCATCGGTGAAATGAAAGTACTTGCCGGATCTCTGATTTCATTCCATGTCAGTCAATAAAGTAAACTTTCCGTTGGGTTATAAGCTTTTTGTAAAGGCTTTCATAATTTGTATCATCCACAGAATCACCACTGAAAATATTTAATAATCAACTTATCGACTGTGCTAATGAACTACCTCGCGTCGTAAGAGAACAGACTTGAGTATCTTACCTTGTGAAACAACTCCCATATTTCTTTATCCTGTTTTCCCGTCAACACTTCTTAGCTTGAGACAAACAATATCCATTCCTTTGAAAATTACCTCATGTACAATTTTTTTCTTCCAAACGATGGTTAACACACCATCTTGTAATGAAATAGCCCTGAAAATATAGCTGCGTTCAAGAAACGAAGCAAACCCGCGAGATTTAGTCGCTTCGCTAGTTTACAACTGCCAACAAGCGGGTTTTCCTAATTTGGATTGTGATCAACAGGTTCTACCCGCTCGAAAAAACCCGCTAAATTATTGAAGCGCGCGAAAAATTTGACAAAGCCATTTGAATTTACCACTCAACCGTGGAGACAACAGCGGAAAGGGCGGCCTTCATCTGAGGACGAGGCAAGTTGGTTTGAAAACGGGAACAGTCTGTTATGAGATAGCCTTTTGAATTTATTATATCACCGTGGAGACAAAAGGGGAGAGGTATCCTCAACCTAGGGACGAGGCAATTTTTGTGATTTTTATGGTAGCAGTTATGAAAGTTATCTCAAGGTTAAGGTGCTTCCTCAGTTTTGCTCTGCGCATCCTTTACTCCGCATGAAAATCATATAATTGGGGGAATGGGCTCGCGCACGCGCATTCCAATAACATGGTATTGTTTTTTAATCCATGGATCAAGTAAAGAGGTGTGACAGTCTTAAGCACTCGAACGAGCACGGTGACGTATATTTTTATTTTACAATTTATCGCCTTTAAATATGGGAAATAATTTTAAAAAATTATTCGAAGGGAAAAAAAGATAAAGCTAAGAGCGTGCACTCGAGGATGCAAATTATGACCTTGAAAGGAACGACTCGTGGAACGTTTTGAGTCGATGCCATTTAAATTGGCATGATTTTCCCACAAATTATAAATCAAAATTGTTCCATACGCTCGAGACTTTCTACCTATCAGTTTTTTTTTTTCAAGTGTTACTTTAAAAATCTTGCTTGCAGCAAAGATATACCGTGAACCGATGAAATGACGTGCGTGATTAGTGCCAGTACAGGAATTAATGGGATAAGTTTGGCCGGCCATTATATCTCCTAAACAAGTTCGGTGACCCGTCTTTTTATTTATTTCTTTGAAACAGACATCGGCAAGGAAAATTTATGGAAAGTTTAAAAAAATTGTTCGGTAACTTTTTTTTCTGAGGAATCACCATAATTTTTAAAAGTTATAGTCAGCCCTCCATACTGACAAAGTTTACCGGTGACTTGTCAAGATCTTGGCTCAAGGAGATGCATCTTTTTATCTCTTCTTTTCTGCTGATGACTGATCAGGTTTTACATCACATGATACTTATCAATATAAGTTATATTCAGCAAATCCTCATCTTAATGAAATTTTTTTTTAAGACTGTGCTTCTTAAAAGGAAGTAGGCTGTGAGTTTTAAGAATTTAACTGCGCAACCATGATTTTGCTTTTAAAAGGATTTACTGAAAAAGATATTAATTTATCTTGAGGAGTCAGTCTTTCAGACGCATTTAAATTTATTGTAAGTGTCAATACGTAATCTGAAATTATTGAGAACTGAATCGGTTATTTTATTGTTGTTAATGTGGCTCTTGCGATCATGAGGTTCTCTTGTGAGGTACTCTTACCCTACTTTAACCGGGTTTGGTTCTCAGAAACAACTACCGTAGGGATTCGATTTAGCGTCCAGAGCGCTTATTTCCTCATGGTTCCTCTAGGGACGACGCTCACTCGAAACAAGGCGCTTATTGGGAACAGGGCATTTATTATTTTTTGAGAAATAGCAGAATATGCAAATTAAGTTTTCTTGTTTATTTAAAAAGAAACAGTAGCAGAAACTGTAAACTGAACAAAAAAGATATACAGTGAATATTGGCATACTAATATTTAGGGGGAATGTACTCTAGCACGGCTATCACTGAAACAGAATAGGGGTGTCTATTGAAATAAAGGCGCTTATTAGAATGAGGGTGCTTATAACCTTATTAACAAAAACAAATCTAGGGAAGGCGCTTTAAACCAGAGAGCGAGCGCTTATTGGAAGGAGGGCGCCTAGACAAATTATTACCATAAGCTTCTCTTCGCATTAAAACGCAAAAATGATCTCTCATGGTGCGTAATCAATTAAAAATATCAAAATAAACTGATGGAGGAAAAGCGTTTAATCATTAGCTCTGTTGTTTTGTAAAGATTTTTAATCAGTCCTAACATCTCAGCTCTGTCGTTTATGATTAGTTTATTGTACAGTTCTTCCAACAATGTGTCCGCCTTGCTCCACCTTCATATGTTTGTGTCGCAAATTTAGAGAGTGCGAGGGCTCGTTTAAAATTAATGTTATTCTGTAATTCAACATATTTTCATAGTTTTTATGCTACAGACTTTATATTTTAGAAAATGAGGAAACGTAAAACTGAGAGAACAAATAAACTGCTGTAATATTGATCTAGAAAATACATGCGAACAAAGTACGTTTTTAACTCGAAAAGTATCAATTTGATAACGTGATCTTAACAAATAAAACGATCAACGATTTTCATAACCCTAACAAGCACAAGTGACAGGTTTTTTAAAAAGCATTTTGATGTATTTCACATTTAAACCGGAACTATGGAAATTAAACGGCCGATGCGATGAAGGACATTTGAAATTTTGGAAATCATGAATTAAAAAACCAAAATAAAAAAAGAAGCTAATGAGTACATGTTAGAAAAGAAACCTGTCTTTAAAATAGGAACAACTCGGTAAATCTGTCAGAAATCATTATGCAATAGGCAAGTATACTTTGCTACGTAATTAAACGGGAAGTCCCCCTTAACGTGATGAGATGTGCAATTGTGATATTTTTTTTTTGTAAATAGGAGGTTTCCTTGCAGTTATATCGGCGGTAAATAGATAATTTCGCCGTCCTTTTTCCGGCGGGATAAAGGAACGTATACATTTTCTTGCCGACTCGATGGTTCAACTGGAGATAGACTTGGTAGGGAAAAGCGTGTGTAAGTTCTTTTAAACTCCTCAGATCTCCTTCGGCTCGCTAATACTTCACTCAGTCGCCGACGGAACTGTTTGTTTGTGACTCCCGTTACTTGGGAGCGTGTGGTTCTCTTGCCTGCCGGTAGCTCCTTATAAGCAGCTTGCTGCACGTCGAAGATGCGTCGAATTTCACGCTCAAATTCGCGATGTAACAAGTCCTTGGTTTTTTCCAGGCTCGAGTCAAGAGAGCAGTTCATTGTCTTGGCATAACGGACAGCGTTAACAATCTTCTTATGAGGACTTGTTGACAAAATCGACTCCTCCCGTTTCATTCGCTCGTCCATCGCCTCCAACAGAGAATTATGATCAAGTTCTCCGTGTTTACTCTTAGCAGTGCATAACAACGAATTTATTTCTGAAGTCGAATGTCCACGTAGCGAACTGCCTTCGCCTTTCAAAGATTCCGGATCACACTTAATAAACTTGACAGCTTTCATTCGCAAGACAGTCAAAAAGTAGCTTTAAAGGGTTCCATGTCAGAGCCACAATTGAAGATCCTTAGCTGTACTTAAAATTTTTCACCGCCCTCTAAACTTTTTCCTCCAGTTTTGTACGACTAAGGCGCTTAAAACTTTCAATTTAAGGAAGTAATTAACTCGTCCATCTGCTCATCTAACAAAGAAAACTGATAGCGGATTGGTTTCCTTTTTATTGAAAATTAAAAAATATATTTTCTATTATGACTTTTCATCAGCATTTGCATAAAACGCAAGGTGTTCAAACTAAACCTACTTCCACAAATTGTGACAAATTTTGTGCGCGTTTTTATTCAACACTGTAGCTGTTAACACTAAAAACACCATTAATTATTTTCCTCTTTAGCAGTAACACTTAACCTAGCTGTTCAGTTTGTCTTTCGATTCGTTAAGTCACTTCGACAGAGCGAAAACTTAAGTTTCCACTACACAAAAAGATCGTTATCTTTTTTCATGAAAATAAAACTTGTAAAAGCCGACATCTAAGCGGTAATTTCTGTATAAATCTCCTAAAGACAGGCCAGGATCCTGATTAACTTTTAGCAACTGTCAGCCGCGGACGTAATAATGGAGATAGCCAAATTAAAAATGGAAAAGAAAGAGATAATTCAACAATTCTATGTAAAGTTGGCGTTGGAACGTGTATCTGGCAAAAATAAAATAAAATAAGTTAACGTTTACCTCTTAAAGAACGAGCTAATTATCATAAACAATTAAAAAAAAAATAATTTAGTCCTCTGCAAGAAAAATTTAATTTGGAATGGTGTTCTGTCTGTTTGGCTGTTTTCAGAATATTTATCAGCTGTTTTGCAGTGTGGGTTGTAATTTACATCTTGTTTAATCTCCTTCAGGGTTTCTTTTCCGATCGAACCCCATATTGTCTTTAAATGCTGGTTAGTGGAACAATGACGCAGTGAGACATTAGTCTCTTGCATAACATAGCGAGATTATCTACTAATGACTAACAGTTTAGAGTCCACAAAAAACAGCTGTTGACTTTACCCTACCGGACACTTGCGTCCGACTACGAACAGTTCCGAACGATTTCGGACAATATCGTCCGTCTTCCGGACCGGCTGCGCTCGATTCCGGTTTCCAGCGTCCGTCTTCGAGCGGTTCCGTCGGATTTGTCTAACAGTTCCACGACTAGGCTGACTATTCAAAAGGCATATCTTGGATTTTTCACGGGGGAGAGGGGGGGGGGGGGGGGCTGTGACGAATAATAATTTCCACGATGGCCTACATCGCAGCTTTACCTGGGGCATTTACGGACTCGTTGGCACGCAGCAGGAAGGACGAAGCATCCACCACTAGAAAATGTTTATGCCTGGTGTATTTCTTCGGTTTTACGCATTGTCACACCTTAATTTACAACGTCTAAACAGGAGAATATTAACTATTGGTATTCTCTTCGTCTGTATGATGTTAACAAAAATGATAAACAAGGTAAAAAATTTTCTCGCAAAGGGGGTGGGGGGTAGTGACAAGCATTTCAGACTCCCCTCTCCCCCCCCCCCCCAGCTATTGTCTTCCACTTATTTTCGCCACGACAGGATTGGTTTGGTTTTTTACACATATCACGATACTGATAGGAATGTAACCTCGCGCCTCTGGGTGTCTCTGTTGTCTTTAGATTTAATAGTACGATCTACAGCTTGCTACTCTC